CACATTAAGGGCGCTCTTTGTGGTTGGCATTCCCTGCTGTTCCCTGCCTGGTGCCCGCAGCACATCACAGGGGCTCATTGTGGCTGGCATTCCCTGCTGTGCCCTGCTGGTGCCAGGGTTTCTTTGTGGGCTGCAGGAGCAGATGGTGGCAGGGGTGTGCACGCTTTTCTTCTCATGGAAAAAGCAGAAGTCAGAACCCACTCCCCCAGACTAAGAGAATTCAGCTATTTTTAAACGTGACCACTTGTTTCCATGCTCTCAGTGGTTTTCCCCTGTGTCCTCCTTTTCCCATTCCATTATCTTTCTCCCTCCACCACACGGAAAATCGCTGCTGGATCCCAGTTGCATCTCCCAAGTTTATTTACATGGTGAGATGAGTGTGAAACAGTCAGACAGCTTTGACAATGGCACGTGCCAGACATCTGCTTAACAGCACCTGCCAACAAGCTGAAAACTGCCCGTGTGGAAAGGGCCTGTGCTTGCTGATGATTCATTTAGGCTCTGAATATCCCTGGCCTTAATGTACGTTAGACTTCGGTGATCCTGAGCTCTGAGTTGTAGGAGGAAGGTTTTCCCAATGCGCCATGGACAAAAGAAACTCAATTCTGTGGCCGTCCCTGGCTGACAGCGCAGAGATGTGCTCAGCTTTGCTAAGCTGCGCTTGGCAAGGAGAAACCTGGCACTTAAACCTGGGCACCCCAGCTGCCTGGCGAGTGAGTGGCCAAGAGTCACAGTCAGGTTCCTACAGAGTGTAGTTAAAAGCCTTCTTACCAAATGAAAGCCAAAGCAGCAAAGACGGGCACAGAGATGGGGAGGAAAGGATGTCTGTCACTCCTCGTACCCTTGTCTGTTCCTCTCGTGGGTTGCGGTTGACTGCAGAGGTTTAAGTCTGGGGCACTGAGGGATTGTCTCATTTCAGAAACACTGTGACAGGCAGAAGGCAAACCTGAGGATCCGCTTCAAGCCGTCGCTCTTCCAGCATGTGGGAACCCACTCCTCCTTGGCTGGGAAGATACAGAAGCTGAAGGTGGGTGCCAGCCGCCTGTCCAAACTGCAGATGTGGCTTTTGTGCCAGGCCTGGCCTGCAGGCACCGAGGAACTGGCTGCTTTTGGGGTGGGGAAGTCAGTGACAGCAACTGGTGGCAGCTGGATTTCTGTGCAGTGATTATGTTTTATTCTGAATTACAGTGAGCTCGTGTAGCTCCTCCTTCGGAGAATGGCAGTGATGTGTACCAAGAGTCACTGCAAGCTTTCAAGTCCTGGCTGCCCATCCCGAGCACCAAACTGTGGTTCATGCAATTGATTTCAAAGCATCTGCTGGCAAACCCTGGAGACACAGGACTCCTGGGTTGGGTTGACTTCCTTCCTACCCCACTCCTTGTTCCTGGGGCTTGCTGATAGGTGAACTAGAGCTCTCTGTGTAAGAGCTTAAATTGTGTGTGTGTATTTAAACGTGAACACAGCTATATGTGCAGGACCCATAGACACACACAGACACCAGGTGTGTCTATGTGCTCAATCCTCTGTCTGCCTGATTCCCCAGGTAAATGGATGGTGTAATCCAGTTTGTATCAGTGCCCATCAGGCTGTGTAATCCAATCATTACATGCTGTTGTCAGCCTCACAGCCCCCTTCTCCTCAGGTGTAAGGGCCATTTGCAGTCCTCCTGGGGCAGGGATGCTTGGACGATGAAGGGCTCTTTGGTGCTGGATTAGAGTGCAGAGCAGTGATGCTTCTCTGTGCTGCCTCTACTGACATGGTGTCCTCCTGGGATCCAGTCACGCATTGCCTTGGCTGTTGCCTTTCCCAGATCACTTCCATCCCTCATCATTCTGTGCTGTGCAAATAGAGAGCTTTTAATTTGCAGCGCTTTGTTGCTGGAGCCCGTGTTCCTCATGGGTGAGAGCAGCTCATGACCCTTTTCTGCCTCTTCGCTTTGTGCCCACCAAGGACAAGGACTTTGGCAAGCAGGCCCTGCGCAAAGAGCACGTGAACCCTCCCGCGGAGGTGAGCACCAGCCTGAAAACCTACCAGCACTTCACCTTGGAGAAGGCTTACCTGCGGGAGGACTTCTTCTGGGCCTTCACTCCTACTGCCGGAGACTTCATCAGATTCAGATTCTTCAAACCACTCCGCATCGAAAGGCCAGTGCTTGGGGGAGGTCAATGGGGCTGGGCAAGGGACAGCCTGGGCCATGCAGGGACACTTCCCTTTTGGCTCATGTTGAATGTTTTGCCCGTCTCCTGCTTGGCTGCCCAGGAGGAGGAAGTGGTGCTTTTCCAGGGGGATAATAACTTGACCCTTTTTTTGGTGGGGCCATGTTTGCTGGAGCCCTTTGCTTGCCTGCTCTTGTGAGCAGTCCATGCTGTATCCAACCTGGTGCAGAAGGACTCCTTCCAAACCATGTGCTCGTGGGTTTTTGGGGAAGCGCCCTGTTAGGGTGAGCTGTCTGAACATTCAGCTTTGGGGAAAGCCTTCGTGTCACCCCTCGCTCAGTGTGGGTTTCCATGGCTTTGGTCTCTGTCACAGGTTCTTCTTCCGCAGCGGGAACATCGAGCACCCAGAAGACAAACTCCTCAATACGACTGTGGAGGTTTTGCCGTTTGACGTAAGTGTTTTATTGAGGATGGAGCTGGGGGTGGAGTGGGAAGCACAAGAGGATTGAGAGAAGGGAACTGCTTGACGCCGTCAGGAAAATCTTTACAAGGCTCGAGTGCCTTTGAGAGGTGCTGCCGGGGGGTCACGCCTGGTGTGGTACCACCTCGGGAGCAGCGATGCTGTGCTGAGCCATCACTGTGGGAGCCATCCCTGCCTACACAGGGAATGTTGGATGGGTGGGAGGGCTGCAGGGGAGGGAATGGAGCCAGAGAGGTGCAATGGAAGCAACAGCATGAGGGCATCAAATGTCCTCTTGTTTTGGAGAACGAAGCTTGAGGTGTCAGGCAATGGGACAAGGTGCTGGTGAGAGCAGCTCTGGGGTTGCTGCTGTTGCTTGGAGCTTCTGAGTGGCTCTTCCTATGGCCTTTCACAAAGTTCCTCTCCTTCCCACAGAGCCTGCAGTCGGATAAGGAAGCCTTGCAGGAGGGAAGAGGTGCAGTGTTCAAATACCGCAGGACACCGGATGGCTACATCCAGATAGGTACAGCAGGGTGCAGGGTGGTCAACTGCCCACTGGGTTTGATAACACAGCCCATAGCCTCACCCTCCAGGGAATCAAGACCCTCAGTGCTGTTCACTTGGCAAAGAGTTATTTCTGCTTGTCAGGAGCCAGGTTGGAACAGGATTTAATTGTCTTTTCCTCTCCTCCACTGCTCTCCCTCTCCTCTTGGAGTAGGTGTCCTCTTCAGGTAGTTTGCAGCCCTATATTTCTGCCTGTCTCTGCTCAGAGCTGGGACCAAATTACTCAGATTATCCATTTGCCTGATCTGCTGTTAAAAACCTTCACCCCAGGCAAGTTCACACCCTTCCTCCACAGCCTGTGTCAATGCTCACAACACTTGAAGCTTTGACTTTGTCTCCTGCTACCTGAGTTTGTTTTAGTGCTTGCCATACCCTTGGACAAGAACAAGTCATTGCAGCCTACGGGGAAATGCTGGTGCATGGTAAAGCTAAGACTTGTCCTTGCTAAGGCTTCTTATTTTAAATAGGCAAAGTCCCTGGCACGTGTGGCTTTCTGCCACTTTACATTCCTCTGCAGTGCTATTTGGCTTCTTCCAGTTACATTTAAAACAAAAAGAGTAAAATTGCAACCAAAAAATGGGACATTATTATCTCCATGGCATAGATACTGAACCAACATTTGTCTCTTACAGGACCATGCTGTTCCACTCTGCCCCATGCCTGTAAGCAGTGATGTGTAGCCAAATACTCCCCATTTTGCTTTGTTTAGCAGATTTTTTGTCCCTTTAAGCATAGCATTTTGCACTGTATTGACGTCCACACTGATGGTTTTCAGCCCATCTTGTGGTGGGGAGCTGCTATAGTTCTCTGTGGTCCCCTTGGATGGGGGCTGGATGCGAGGAGTCTGTCCCTGTGTCATCCCTGTGCTCTCCCCACCAGGCTCCTTCTCCAAGGGCGTTGCAGAGGGCGAGGTGGACCCATCCTTCGGGCCGCTGGAGGCCATCAGGCTGTCCATCCAGACCGACTCCCCCGTGTGGATCATCTTGAGCGAGGTAAGCCGGGCTCCATCCCCAGCGGGATGCCCCGGGGCTCCTGCCCCGCTCCCTCTGATCCCGGCCCTGCCCTCTCTGCTTGCAGATTTTCATCAAGAAGGCAGAGTGACCCTGCCTGCGGAAGGGTGGATGGACACACGTGGATCCCGTCCTGCTCTCTCCCATCCCGCTCCCTCCTCCCGGGGCGCCTCGCCCGGGTGCAAGGGCAGCGCAGCTGGCCTCAGCCATCCGGCATCGCCATCCTCGGCCTGAGCTGCAGGGCCACGACATCGCCTGCTCCAGAAGAGGAGCAGAACCAGGCAAACCCCGGTATCCGGAGCAGAGAGCGATGCCCCTCGTGGGTGCAGCTGCTGAGCTCAGGCCACACGGACACAGGGGTTTGGGGTCGGGGTGAGTGCTGGTAAGCATGGGAACAAAAAGCACCTTCAGCCCAGGACAGGGCCACCTCTGGCTGTACTTGGGGCGCTTGGGTACCTTGAGTCCCGCTGGCTGACCCCGTGGGTGCGCTGGGATGGAGACGGGCAGGGACCAAGGTCTGCCTTGAACGGTCCTGGCCACAGCTGAGGATTAAGTGAGGGTGAAGACTTGACCCTCCTTCAGCAGAGGAGGAACGAATCCAAAGGGGTTGGAGCTACGAGTATGGCAGGGAAAACAAAAAGAACTATGAAATACGCCACACTGTGCCTGCCAGCATTGAACACAGCCCCTTCACTCACAGTGAAGTCTCCAGTGTCTTCATGCCTTGAGATTGAGTGCAGAAACGATGGTTTTTAAAAGAATTGTTTCAGTTATTGATTGGTGTGATTGGTTCTTTTTTTTGGGGGGGGGGGGGGGGGGAGAAAATAAAGCAGAGGTAGCCCAGTTCAAAACTAGTAGGGATTAGTGTAAATCCCGCTGTCTCTTCAGCTATACACTGGAATGCATTATACTACTTTCATGTGCTGTATTTTTTATTATTGGATACATTTGATTTTTCAAGTACATCTCTATATAAATATATAAAATAATGTGCACTGTAATAAAAGCTAAGTTTAAAGCTTTGGTGCGGCAGTGACAGTCACTTGTGGCAGCGAGGCACCTGCCCTGCTCTGGCTCTGTCCTCCAGGGGCCTGGTAGGTATCCCTGGGGACCAGGGACCAGATGTAGCCCCTAAACTTTAAATAAAGCTATTCCTCAGCACTCATCAATAGCTGATACTCCCAAAGCACTGCTCAGTCCCCAGCCGCCTTTGGAAATCACAGGGGATTTCTACTGAGAAAAGGGACTTATTTTTCTGCATATCCGTGGTGTGATCCTTCACCATCCATCAGTACAGCAGTAAGGAGGAGTGACAACAGTGAGTGAGGTTACAGGTTAACCCATGCTCTGTGGGGCACAGCCAAAGGTATTGGAGGTTAGACAGCACAGTGCTACAAAACCTGGCAGTGAAGCTCATCATCAGGAGCAGAAGCTGGACATCCTTTGCTTTCTAGATGGGCTATTCTCTCTGAAGAGTGGAGCTCCACACGCAGAGCAGTGCCAGCATCCACCTCCCTTCAAAGGTAAGAACCAAGGGGGGGGTTTGGGAGAGCCATGGCCCCTCTCACCAGGCACCGAGGTGCTGGAGGGGCCACACCAGCACTGCCATCCATGGGGAGCAGCAGGGGAGCAGGAAGTGTGCCAGGAGCCTGGGCACCGCCAGCCCCAGCAGCAGCCACAGCACTCAGGCACTGGCATACAATGGGTCCAACCTGCACAGGGAGAAACACCGTCAGACACCACCAACAGACCCAGGGCATGAAGCATACTGCACCCTCCCGAGCCAGGGAGGAGGCCACAAGCACATAGAGACAGGAGAGGAGGAGAAGGGTGTAAAACCTGCCTTTGGTCCCACCTGTGGTAAGGAAACCTGCCCCAGGGCTGCATCCCACACCCAGCTCCCTCGGTGGGTTTGGGGCTCCCACAGCCCCAGCTGGGTACTCACCGTCCCTGCGCAGCCGCAGCGTATCCCTGGAAGTACCTGAGGTGGGTGTAGAGGCAGAGCAGCCCGCACGCCGCAGCCACAGCTGTGGGGAGATGGGACCGAGTCCCGATGGGGCAGAGCATCCCCAGGGGGATTTCTCAGTTGCTACCCAGCAGGTTTATGCACATTGGGGTTGGGCCCCGTCTGTCTGTCTGGGCAAAGGGGACTGCATTACCCAAGTAACGATCTCATGGGTGCAGAGGGGACACACCTGGGTCACAATGGGATTTTAACTGGGCTTTTTGCTTTGTGCATGTTGTGATTCATCCCCATTACCTTGATGGAAGAAGAGTCCAGCAACCCAGAGGAGCCAGGTGAAGATTGGGAAGTACTCTGAGCAATTCACCCTGGTGAGACCCAGAGATGAGAGTTAAATGCACATCCTCATATATAACACATGCACAGGTAGAGCTTCCTTAGCAGTATTCAGGGAGCTCATGCTGTAAGAGGGAACCTTCTGCCAGATCAAACTCAGCAGAATGCAACCTGTAGCCAAGTCCTTCCTTTCCTTTTCCTTTCCTCCCTTTTCCTTCCTCCCCATATCACTCCTCAAATGTTTCCCACACACTGGCAAGGACACACAGCTGTTTTGTTCAGGATTTAGTGCCATGCTTGAGCTACCCTTCAAACCAGCTCCAACCAGTTCCTTCCAATTGCTTATGAAACACAATGACTGAGATGAAAGATGGAATCTGGTGCTTGCTGGAAGCTGATCTGTGAACACTTCTAGTCTAGCTCCAGCATTGCTCTCTCCATCAGAACAGAGCAGAAAGAATTGGCCTCAGCACTGATGTTCACAGGACAAGGGCTTAAAAAAGGGACAAAACACATCCTGGTGGCTGATTCTGCCAGCAAGGCCTTTTGCTGTAGTTTAACAGCAACAATGTACAAGCAAATATTAGGGTATTAATTTGGAGGCAACATTAAGCTTAATGATTATAATTCATTAATGCACCTCCTTCATGCAACCACTAATTTGTAACGCGGCTGCCTCTCGCAGTGCCAGAAGGAGGATTGTCATGGATGAACAGAAACACTGCAGCCAGAGCAAAGTGTCTGAATCACCCTCAGACAAAGCATTTAAAAACCCTAATTCACAATACCTAGTATCAGTGGTAGCAAGTGAAAAGGGGATTTGAGGGTGACTCCAGTCTTTCCCGGTAGCGACACTTGACTCAAGTCATATCTAGATTCACCACAGGGAAGTCAAAGTTGTACTGAGCTCTGAAGACCAGCTCAAATTCAGGGTGACCTGTTGTCCTGGGAGGGGAGATCCTGTACTGCCACCGGGCATGGATCACCTGCAGTGCGAAATAGGCTGTAAAAGGAAAGAACACAGAAGGGTAACAATCCAGCAGCGTTGTATTTAGCCAAGCTTTCCCTAGCCTGGGATCAAGCAAGTGGTTACAAGAAAAGAGCTGGCGCTGCCTAGGTTCGTAGCCCATGCTGTCGCACACAACCTGGAACAAATGTGCCAATAAAAGTACTTGAAACTACTGATGTTTCAAGTATTGAGGTGCACTACTACATTGCTGCCTCTGAAAATGAGAGTTTTCATATAGGAGACAAACACCTTATAAAACCAGTCGCTTTGGTGGCTGTGGCAGCACGCCATGAGTGAGTCATTCGAATTAGCAAGGTCCTAATGCAGCAACGTTTCCAGAGCACTGAACAAGGAGCCAGGCTGCAAGGAATGCCTTGTGGACTGTCTCATTCTAACAAGAAGATAAAAGCAGAACAGCAGGATAGAGAAGAGACAGTAGGGACAGATGCTGCAAGATTAAAGACAAGACAGATACAACTATTGATGCTCTCAGGGTCTTGTCCCAGTCACTGCTCAAGAAATGGACTGAGCTAAAGTTACTGCATCAATGCATAGCTCTGGCTTGTGGCATATACCTGGCTGTGCCGGGCAATGATTTTTGTCCTGCTTGGTACCAACTGCACCATCTCTTACACTTAGGGCTAACAATAGAAATATATGTATATAATAATATAAAACAACCCCCCAAGAGGAGCAAGACCCTTTAGGGGATGGCCAGCTGTCCTCGAAACCTGCTGTAGGGGTGAAGCACTAAGGAAGAAGAACCACCCTCAAATCAGCTTCTCAGAACAAGGAGCTGAAAAACCCACACTGCATGAGCCTTCTCAGTGTGGACTTCCCGGGAACAGAGTTCAACCTCCTCTGCAGAGCCTTCCAGACCAATTTTCTGTGATTCATGTCTGTAGGTTAAATGCCTCTATAGGCTCACACGGGCTGAGCACTCCCTGCACTTTGCTCCTCAGCCAGACCTTCATTCTCTGGTTGATTATGTCCACAAACTTGGCAAATCATATTGGAGCTGCTGGCTGCCACATCTGAATGAACCTGGCAAACAAGCTGTTTGTGACAGTGCATAAGCTTTATTTCCTTTGAAGCCATAAGAAAGAGGAAAAAAACCCACCTAAACTTTAGTTCTGCTCTGCTATAGCATTCAATACAGGGCAGAGGCACGCACCCAAGGGCACTAAGCTCAGAGCTTTGCTAAATTGAGCATAACTAAATTAGAAAAGAGAAAGGTTACTTGAGAGAAGGTAGAAACTGTGAGCTCCCAGAAAACACAATGAAAACTAAAAATCAACCAACACTGCACTAAACTCAGCCATCAAACCAGGCGGCCTGCATCAGGATGAGATGGAAGAGGATCTGTACATACAGCACACGTCATGTTTCACTGCTCTGCCCTCTCGGAATGAAGCTCAGATCTGTACTCACGTACTGAGCATCATTTCAAAATACGCAAGAAAAGGCACGGCACAGCCCTGACTCAAGGTGACATTGGCACACATAGTTCATACTACCGAGAGGGAAAGGAAACACAGTATTTTGTAACTGCTTCTTCACTTCCCATGCAGAGATTATTAAAATCAGGCTACTTTATCCAATTTAACATAGATAAGAGGGTGCCGGTGCTTGCGATTTATCTAACACCATGGTTTGCATAGCATGGAAGTTAAATGCCTAAGGCTGCAACCTGTAAAAAAACACCTGAAGCTCTCATAAAACAAATGTATTTGAGACAAAACTGCTATCCAGGGATTTGTTACTGAGGGTTTCCCAGTGGAAAGGGCTTAGCAGCATTTCCATAACTCAATTTCAGTTTCTCTTCCTGTCTTCCCTTTGCACACTGAACACTCCCTCCATCCCGCTTAGTAACAAGCAAAATTCATATGACAAAAGTACCTTCCATTTCCAGTCGCAGATATTTCTCTGTAAATTGTTTGAGGGGAAATTACTGATAACTCAGAAATCTTGAGCTCTATTCTTCAAGGAGCCCGTGTTTTAAATAATGCTTATATTAAGAGATGGATCATCTGATGGCTAAAAATACCTCAGGCTGCTCAGATTCACATCCGTTTGTAAGCAGAGGTGTGATAGCTCTACAGTGAATTAATTCAGTAATTAAAAACCCCACAAACCAACCTTGCCTTGTTGAAATGGGAAGATTTTAGTAAAATGGGGGCTCTGTCGCCACCCCAAGCAGAAGGAATGTCCCCTTCCATGACCCTCCTGAAGCCCAGGGTGGAGAGGCCGTTGCTCAAAGGACCTACAATTAAACACAAGAGGTAGACAAAGCTTGGCTATTGCTTCTAAGAGGTCTAAACCAAACCCATCAATGGAAGTAACAAGAAGTTTCTCCGAAAGACATCTGTCTGATTCTGACCAGAAGGGGGCTTGCATTATATTCCAAATTACTGTGTGCTGTCAAACCACCCTGTCATCTACTTTGTGCAGCCGAGCTCTACAAACACATCATAGCATTGGTCACAGAGAAATACATACGCTTTCCTATAGACATACAATATGTGTTTGCACACTGATCTCTTCATCAGCATGTTTATTAACCTGCCTTTGTTTTAGCACCTCCAACCACTCTTAAGCTACAAATTACCTGCTAAAATTCAATCACAGAAAATACTTTGAATACATTCTACTGTTGAAATTATTTTACATTTAAAAGTAAAACTTAAATCTCATTTCCTTCTAGGATGCTATCTTCCATATGAAGACAGGCTGAGAAAGTTGGGGCTGTTCAGCCTGGAGAAGAGAAGCTGCGTGGAGACCTCAGAGCAGCCTTCCAGTATCTGAAGGGGGCCTATAGGGATGCTGGGGAGGGACTCTTCATTAGGGACTGCAGTGACAGGACAAGGGGTAACGGGTTCAAACTTAAACAGGGGAAGTTTAGATTGGATATAAGGAGGAAATTCTTTCCTGTTAGGGTGGTGAGGCACTGGAATGGGTTGCCCAGGGAGGTTATGAATGCCCCATCCCTGGCAGTGTTCAAGGCCAGGTTGGACAGAGCCTTGGGTGATATGGTTTAGTGTGAGGTGTCCCTGCCCATGGCAGGGGGGTTGGAACTAGACGATCTTAAGGTCCTTTCTAACCCTAACTATTCTATGCTGCCTTTGAGGTTTGTGGATCATTTCAGTCCCTATTGAGTAACGGGCATCCACAGACACAACACCTCTGCCATGAACAGCCAAACATTTGCATCTTTAAACCAACTTTTACTCCAGAGAGACTCCAAGCAAAACACAGGAACCAAGTTCCACAAAGCTTAAGAGAATTAGCTTAATAGTACCTAGCATTATAGAAAGGACATTTACTTTGCTACAGGACTCCCAAAACTGTGATCGTTGCCAGCAAGTCCATCTGATGCCTCATGTTGCTGATGGTGGCCCAAACCCTAGGCAGGTGTGATGGGTCTGGCTGCTCCCCAGCCCTCCCCGCAGGACAGCACTGGGCCCATGGTGTTCCTCTGCAGCAACACGTGTTTCCACCTCCACAGCTTAACTCTCTCCACATCACAGTTTCCCAAGGCAGACAGTCACCAGGAAATGGTGATTTCAGACCAGCCTTTTGCTGAACCACAGAACAGCAGAAGTTCTGCACGCACAAACCAAGAAATCCTTCCAGTTATATTTACAGACTTTGTACTGTGATTGAGTTCTACAGTGCTGGCAATGGAAAGATAACTGAGTATTTTTCAGCCCTTTTGCTGCTAGTTTTCATCAGCTCTAAAGCATCTACATTATGGGTGAGGTTGTAAAAACTATTAACAAGCATTTACAAATTAACGGCTTGACCTTCTGCTCTTTTTCCAAGTAATGGAGTTGATCACATGGAAGGGTTTTCTAGATTCCAACTGAAGCAGCTTAATTCTGTTACTGGATTCTGACTTTTTAAAAGAGCATTCACGTTTTATCCTATTAATGATGTAAGTGTACCAACTAAAAGTATGGTTCTTTCCTAGCACTCAGTCACTTACTGTAGTGTTCTGATGTTGCTACAATTCTGCCATGCAAACCTTTTCCTGGCTAACGTACAAATTAAAACTTCTCAGTTCCAAATGGAAGGCAGGGGAGGATGTTGAAACACGTGGACTCTCAGAAACACTGCCTGATATTAGAGCTGTAAAATGCAAAACTTGAAAACCAGCAATATTTGAGCCATGAGTAACTTTTCTCCCCACTCCACAAAAGCAAAATACACATCAGTTCCAAAAGTTACCCTGTGTTTTGGAGCAACTTTATATGGGTAAAGCTATTCTGGCCTTGAAGTTTTTAAAGCCAAAAAGGAGAAGGAAGGCATCAGTCATTAACAACTAACATTTCCCTTAGTTTTGGTGAAGAGAGGGCACGGGACATGGTTGAGCCATTGCCTTTCTCTGTGTACAGCCCCACCCAAAACCTCAGTACAGAATTCGTGCACAATACCGACAAGCAGCGACCAAGCCTCCAGTTTCTCCTGTGGGATGCAGCAAGTTTGTTCTCCTGGTTTGGCTCTTCATCACCTCAACGATCATGTTGAAAACCTAACTCAAACAGACAACTGTACACTTTCTGTAAGAAAAGCCATGCATATAAATAGCAAAACTGCTCCCTTTCTCTGCAAAACACTCGTATGATGGGACTTTAGATCCTCCATGCTGCTAACAGACACACACTGAAATAGAAATAAAGCAATTTACCTTAACAGAATCTATTGGTGACCAAAGATTTCATCTGGGGATGAAAGTCAGAGAGGAAATGCCACCGGCAATCTACTTGTGCTCACACCATTTCAGCAAACAACCCAGGCTTTAGAAAGCATTTCCATTGCAGATTTACATTTGCCTCAGGAAAAGCACTAACGTCAAGCACTATATAAATAAATAAATCTGCTTCTGAGCTGAGACTCCTTAACATCTTTGGAAAAACATATACAAAACTCCAACGGGACAGTTTCACTCAACATTAAATACAAGGCAGCAGCTTTAAGGGGACAATAAAACGAAAGCTATAAAGTACATAAACTTCACAGTTGCCCCCAAACTAGAAGCAGCTCATCCTGGTATTGCAAATTATTATTACATTTAGTTCTTTATAAGCTCCTGAAGTTACGGGTCCCCTCCTGCCCCCAAACACCGCTCAGAACTTGCAGAGTAGGAATATACTCAAAACAGAGTCAGGGTGCACTTTGTGAGGAAATCTGAAGGCTACTTTACACAGAGTAGCTGTATAAAACACCAGCTCCAATGCTTGCAGAATGATTCTTCGCTGTTTGAAGCTGATTAAACTTCTTATACCATAGGGGAATGCTTGAAATCATGGTAACATGTAGAAGAAATACAGCCTTTGCAAGAAAAGCATGTGTCACACTTTGCAAATTCTCCTTTATCACTACTGCTAAATCTGTGGTTGGAGAGATTGGAGGTATCAGTTTAGAAGTTATGACTAGATATCATCTGTTAAAAGGCACGCTTGACAAACAGGAAACACTACATACAAGGAGCTGAATTCTTGGGTCTGCTGCAGGTGGTATGATTCACGACAAGAACTGCTTTGAAATGCTCAGTTTGGTGTAATTTGTCAAGTAATAACTTGTTAACAAGAACGTATTAAACATCCAAGCACACACCACCAAAGCCAGGCTCCTCTGTGCGCTGATGGGATCACACCTCCTTGCTTTACTTCTCACCAACATACAGGTGAAGTATCCATCTGAAGATGACCAACAATCCAGCAGCATCTGAAAGACCTATTTGCCATTATTTTCCACAGCCTCTTCAACCCACCAGCTCTATGCAGTGGCCTGGGGACCTTACCAGCTTTAAGTCAGTATTTTGTTTCCTGTTCATAAACATTTAACATGCTTGCAGTAAACGTTCCTCATTTATCAGTTTGGTGGGGTTTTCTGGGTGTACATCAAACACGCATAATCCTTGTCTCTTTACCAGTCTCAAGGAAATCAGGTTGATCCGCTAAAGCTTGTTAATGCTGAGGGAATCTGAGCATATTTTTGGAACTCTACAATTCTGCATTGTGAGGTCTCAGCGGTCATCAACATCTTTATCACCAGCAACCCCCTCTGCAGTCCCATCTCCCAGCTTAAGGCCTGAGGCTGCACTAAAAACCCAACAGTCCAGAAGCAGCGGGTGTAGCATCAAGCCTTGCTTTCAAACTGAAGTTTTCCAAGGCCTCATCCAGCTGTGGCCTGTTTAAATGGACTTTCTGACACCGTAAGAATTGATAAGACACAGCAGAACAGGCTTAACAGGCTTACCAGAACTGTGTTAGGATGAAGGGAGCCATCTCACTAGGAACAGCAATGCTGAACTCTGCCCAGCTCACACAAATGTATAAAGTCACACCATGTATGTTTAATACACTAGCAAAATATTTATTTTATAATGATAAAACAGAAGTGAAGGATTTCTTTTTGGTGTGCACCAGTAATTGTAGTAAAAGAATAAGGGGATTAATGGACTCTTTATACATTTCAATGACAAAAATTCATAAAGGTTAGCATCAAATTCAACTGTTCTCAATTTACAAGCATAAAACTTACCATAATACCCCCCAAACACATATATAAAGAATTATAGTTTTAAAATCTATAAAAAGTAAAAAATATACAGTCAGAAGATCTAACTCTTATTCAAATCTTTAATATAAAATTGTAAACATTTATTTACACAAAGGAAATGTGTATAACAAAATTTTGAGCACCCTTTTCAATTGAATCGTGGTTTTTGGAAGGCAGTGGATGTTGCACAGTGACACTCTCACCTTTCCTACCCAGCCAAAACCGCAGTTCATAAATAAAGCCATGGGCGGCTGGCTAGGTACAGTTCAGGGGAGATAAGTTTTATTGCTCTGAAGCTGCAGCAAATGGAAAGCCCAAGTGCATATATAGACAGCTACATGTTCAAGGGCACAAAGGCAAAGCCCAGCCCTACCTGTGCACCTATGGACATCTAAACCGTATGTTCATTTCCAATGAACTGTCTCCACTTTGTTACAGTGACACCGTCTTTCCAGCGGTCCGACTGCATTATGTGGACAGGGACCAAAGCCAGAAGGGATGGCTGCTTTTCCTAGCAGGTTAAATGCGGTTTGGATCCTGTTCACATATGAAGACCAATGGGCATCATAAGCCAGTTTGCCTAGAATTACACTGAATTTTACTTCAACAGTACCATGAAAAGGCCCTGTCATTGAACCTAGATACCTTCCTGAACAAACCCGGTGGTCAAGCAGGGCAATATCCACCTTAGCTTCCAGAAACAGTGGAGGAAAGAGCACACCTGCATTTTCCTGGACATTTAGCTGGATTGCTTTTTTTGGTAGTAATAATGCAAACAGCAGATGCTCTTTAACTCCAATTAAGAAAATCACAACTGGATGGATTGTATTTTGACTTACTCAGAACAAAGCCTGTGTGCAAAATCTACTGGAAAACGCAGCAGATTTCACCACAACCTAAACAGGGAAGAAACAAGAGCTGAATCCTACTACCCTGTAACTTCTCTCAAGTGTTTGTAAGGGGGAGAAAAAAAAATAGTGACACTGAAGGATGTCACCTGAAATTCTGAGGTCCCAAGCACCCCCAACAGGAAGGGAAGGCACACTGGTGCAAAGTTAACCCTTAGAAATAGAAATACAGCAAACACTCCTTCCCCTGCCATTGCTAGTTTATATCTATATTCTTCTAATGACACTTACCTTGGACCAGGTTTTGGTTTAACTGAAACAGTAAACCAAACTCACTAGCTCTTTTCTTACATTGCCAGTATAAGAAAAGTTAGCGTTAGTTATTTGCATCTCAACTACTTATTCTACAAAATACCAGAAGTGTCATCAACTAACACCTTCGTCTTCCCATCCAAAGACAATCTTTACGTTATCAAAAGCTCTATGAGGGATTAAGTCTGCTTCAGTGAAGTTTTATCCACTATTCAATGGTGGGACCCACTGATCAATGCACATCTTTCACCCACAGTTCAACATGATACATCAGATCTGTCCAACAGAGGGTAATTCATCCACACTAGGTAAGTGTGCTGGACAAACCATGTTCCATGCATATTTGGAAAGGGCTAAAGTATTAGTGTTAAAAAAGCAGTTTTTGAAAGTGCAAATTGTCTCAAAAGGAGCTGCAGATACAGTAAAATATTTTCCTTCTTTGAAATCTATGTTACCTTTCACTTCCCTTCACCCACTCTGGAAAAAACCCTCTCACACATCTCTGCAGTGCAGAAAACTCCTGAAGAAGCCAGTCTGTGTTGAAGGAAATTGCTTTTAAATCACAATGCTGGGTTTGGTTAGAAAGTTTAAATGAGTGGATTTCGAAAGGGAAGAGGTATTTGTGCATTTAAAACAAAAGCTTTCAACTTTATTTTCCTTTTAAAATAAAGGTTAAGGCAAGGTGGTTTGTTGGTGGATAAGGGATTTTTTTGGTAGAAAGTAAGGACTTTGGAACACTGACTGTTCCCACTGTGGTTTTTGTCCTTTCTGGTACTGACCCCAACTTATGGATAAGAGGTCTCCTCAGGATGAGCTGAAGAACCAGCTTCAAGGGATATTAAAGAAGTAAATCCACCAGACTGTAGAAAGATTATCAAACTCGTAACCCAGTCATTAAAAAAACAAAAAGGTATTTAAAGGGGGAGACTTCCATACTGGAGCAACCCTGATACAAGTATCCTCCCAGGCTGCCTGTGCTATTATTGCTGATAAGGACTTCCCACCTCTCAGCCAAATTCCTTTTTTCCTCATTTTTGTCCTGAAGTGACAAAGTCTTGTGCTCATTGCTAACCACTTGGGGAATGAACTGCTCTCAAAAGTTAGTTTTACTTTTTACAACAAAGAAAACTAGATGAGCTGTCATGAAGCAAAGCCTTCATTTAAATACAACTACCTTTGGAAATAAGTTATGAAGAAACAGGTGCAAAGTAAATGGCTTTACAATTCATGTTAAACCTACTATAGTTTAAAAGTTCTCCCATAAGAAATTCCCCCCTTTAAACACAGCAAGGTATAAGCCAAGAACTGTGCCTCTCTACAACAGAGTGCAAACTGCAGCTTAAAAGACTACAATCTATTAAGATGACTACCTAGACTAACTGGCCAGGTTTTAATACTTTCTTTCATCTATTACCAGCATCTAGCAATATTTACTGTGAAATATCACTTGCTTATTGAGAGTACAGGCACACGCTTCAGCAATGGGGAAAAGAAACAACTCAAAACATTTTGCAAGCATACTCAGGTGCATACAGCCTCTTCTCAAATTCAAAGTCAGAAGTTTGATGGACTGTACTACAACAGCATGTCAAGCTATGAACAAATAATTATTGCAAGTACTAGCCGCAGGAGACTAAGTCCTAAACACAATTTGTGCAACTATTTGCTTTCTTTCTGCACTATTTCTTGTGGAATTTTATTTTTAAATAATTAAAAAAAATTCATTTTAGAACACTGCAAGTGAGATTTCTGAAAGGCTGGCGAGGACACGCACAGGATTTTTTGACCTGTTCAAGTGTGCGACTCCTTAGAGACACCAAGACAAAGCAAACTACTCCAGCGGACCTGCTTGGTGCGCCATCACCACCTATCAACACTCATTGAGAAGCAGCTCCAGTCCCTTTCCCAACCATTTACCTCTAATGCCTGCAAGTCTCCTCAATGCCACAGGTTTTTTGGTCCAAGTGTTGTTTATATTTCATGAAATAATTAAAAAAGTAGAACCCCCACCCTCAGCCCCATTTTAATGAGTCCCTAACAACTCATCCAGATCATTCATCCACTCCTCTGAAGTCCTGTTTTTCAGCAATGAGTCTATCAGATCTGTGTCACCAGTTA